AAATATTTTTGAAAATTGAAATAGGAAAACAAAACACCTAAAGTTAAATGGAAAATTCTCAAACAAGTTAGAATCTGCAAGGGTATAAAAAGAGGGAAGGAGAAGTTAGATGTTCAGTGTGACATTTAATTGATCAGTTCATTTTCTTGTTAAGGGAAAATAATTCAATTGTGTTCAGTCCAGACTGGGGAGGAGCAGAGATTCCCAGGTGAATGTCCTATGATAGTTCAAGCTGGTAAGACTTACTTAGACTCCCATCAAGCCAGCATGAACTATCATAGGAGGACATTCATCTGAGAATCTCTGCACCTCTCCAGTCCGGACTGAACTCGACTGAATTATTTTCCCTTAACAAGAAAATGAACTGATCAATTAAATGTCACAATGTATACCCTTACCAATTTCCCATCTGCTTCCGTCCATATACATATCCCTCCTTCATCACTAAGTCACTAATAATTCAATAATATCCCCATGAAATTTTCACCTTCTCTTTACTTTAGTTGTCCTAAAATTGTTTATAGACCATTTCTATTTCTTTTTCTCATCTTTGAGTTCATCCTTTGAATTATCCTTGATATCCAGTACATATAGGCATTAAATCTCCACCAAATGGGTTAAGATATAATAATAGACAATTAAATAATCTTTGGACTAATTAAATATCATGTAATAACATTTTTCGGAAGATTAAACAAGTTCTTAAATTTGGATGCATATATATATATATATATATATATATATATATAAATATATATAAAATATATATATAAAATTCAGTAAAACATTAGATTATGGAGAATCTTTACCTAAATTTTTATGATTACAGGGTATTTAAAAATATATAAAAAAGATGCTCACATTATATTCATTAAGTAATTTTTACAGACATGTCACCTGTATAAAAGATTTCCAGCTGTCAATATGTCAATAGAATGATCAACACCTACCTATGTTAAAAATGCATTTCAGCAATATTTTAAACTAAAAGTAATATTTGTTTAGTTAAATTTAAAATCTGCTAATATTCTTCAAAGTTTCAGAAAAGTACATTTTATTTTTTAAATATTTTTTCATAAAGATTACATTGTGATGACAGATGTCTAAAATCAGTATTTTTTTTTTAGCAATTTCAAATAAAAAATAAATAAATAAAATTCCAATCAATTTACATTTGAGTCTGTCTATATTTCTGAGATGAGGTATTATGTACAGTATTTATATTAGTTGGACTATTGTCGCCATATTTGTCACAACGTTTCGGCTGTTGGTTGGAATTTCGAATTGAACCCTTTATTTCGATCACTGGGGTAGACTGTTCTAGTTCCACGTGCCATGTTTGATGGATGTCAGTTATAAGTTATCTCCTGCTAATTTTCCCTCTGAAAGTTCAAGACATCCGTATACCGTAAACCAACATTCACCGGACAGTACCTCAATTTCGACTCCCACCATCCATACAAGCGTAAAAGAAAGGGATAGTCCGATGCTTACAACACCGAGCAAAAAGTCATAAGTGGCGATCCAGAGATGTTAGATAAGGAATTGGTCAGTATAAGTAGTACCCTACAATGTAACAACTACCCTGGGTACATGGCAACAGCCCCCAAAAACTGGGATAGGCGGGTACAAGAGGAGGAGGAGGACAACAACACTCAGAAAACACTCTGTCTGCCTTATGTGAAGGGGTTATCAGAGAAAATACAAAGGATCTGCGGTCCATATAACATCAGGACAACCTTCAAAAGCGTGACAACACTTCACAGATATCTCTCACGAGTGAGACCCCCCACAGAGGGGAACATGACTAAAGACTGTGTGTATGCTATCCCGTGCAGCTGCGGAAAGGAATATAAAGGAGAGACAGGCCGCCCCCTCAAGGTAAGGCTTCAAGAACACCAGAAAGCTGTAACGCAAGGGGAAGTAGAAAAATAAGGCATGGCTGACCACATATGGAGAGAGAAGGGAGATCACCACCCCCTGTGGGATCATGTTGAGGTCATAGACAGGGAACACCATTGGAAAATTCGTAAACTTAAGAAATCAGCACATATGCTAGGCCACAAAAATCTCCTGAGCCGACCAAGCATAGAAATAAATACAATATGGGAACCAGTAATAAGGAGTGCCAGAGAAAAGCAATGATAACAAAGTTGCAATATGAACTCTGGTAAAGACATGTAATTATAACAGCAAAATTGCAATATGAGCACTGGTAAAAAATGATGCTGAAAACATTAGGTTTATAATACTCAGAAGTTCATACCCAGATGTCCTCAAGGACACATGGCACAAGTGGATAAAGGCGTTGGTTAGATCCAGTGACAGACCCAAAGAAGGTGAATTCAATACCTGGTTAAGGCAGTGGAGAACTTTCAGAGGGAAAATTAGCAGGAGATCAGTCTACCCCAGTGATCAAAATAAAGGGTTCAGTTCGAAATTCCAACCACCTGAAGAAGGCCGGAGCGTACAACGGCCAAAACATTGTGACAAATATGGTGACAAAGATGAGGACAATAGTCCGACTAATGTAAATACTGTACAATTTACATTTGTTTTGAAATATAGCTAAGTATGTTGCTTATTGGAAATATTAAATTATTCTATAAGTTTGGAATTAAAATTAAAATGAAAGCTTCATGAAAGATTTTTTTTCACTTTTTAAAAATAATTTTAAACTTGAGGCATCACATTTCTTTGGAGGTGTAACATAAAGTAGAGTGTGTTTGTGTGTGTGTCCAAGCAACTCCTCCACTCCCACTGGTCAGATTTCAATGAATCATAGCTCATTCAAAAAAGTTTGATGTGAAATGATTAACCAAATCAGAGTTAATTAGAGCATTTAGTACGTTGCTAAAGAGAGGTAAAAGGCTAATAGACCGATAGAAAGGATCAGATTGTTTGCGTGAGTTCTTAAAGACTCGAACTACAGAAGAGGATTTCCAACAAGTAGTAAAGCATTTTAGAGTTTAGAGAGAACAAGAGAAAGTTCAGGAGTACATTTCTTAAGGACTTTAGCAATGATACCAGCAACTTCACCTACTTTGTGAGGATCCAGTTTATGAAGTTATATGTATATCACTTAATTGAGACTCAGTTCTAAGTGGAAAGTCAAGCAAAGGTACTTCAGATGAGTTAAGAGTAGAATTTAAAGATAATTTATGAGCAAAGCATTTTGCCTTATCAGCAGAAGATGTTAACACCTCAAATTGATTGAAGAGAGGAGTGATAGAATTTAATTTTACTTTACACATTATTACAGAGCTGCTAGTAAGTTACATGAATCACAGTTGTTAGAGACAAAAGGTGCTTCATTCTATCAGCAAAGACTTAGCCTCTTTGAGATGTTTACAATTATTTAAAGCAGCCACAAATTTTTTTTAATTTTTAAGTAACACAGTAGTAATTTGTTTTGTCTGCATTTTGAGATAAGGTGTGATCTTTTATTTAGTAATTTGTGTCAATCTGGGAAGATGATATAGCTATTTTCTCTGCCTGACAATATTTGGAGTTCTTGTTGTAGGCTAGTGCTGTTTTCCTTATTTTCCATGGTATTTTTTATGTATTTTAGTTCCCATATATATTTAGAATGAGTTGTTCTGTTCACATATTTATTGTTGTTAAAAGATGTTTTGTGTGTATAATTTTTATGTTTCCAGGATCCTTCTGTTACTCCTATGTATATTTTTTTCTTTGACATCTGCTATTTTTATAGTGGTTTAGTATATTGCTTTACTGGCAATTGCTGTTTTAAGGATATTCATGCTTTGCTCTGCAGTTACAAGTGAGTTTGGTGTGGATAATGTTTAGTTATTTTTCTACTGTGTTTCTTATATTATTTGTGTCATGTTCTTATTACAACTGCAGCTGATTTTTAATGTGTTTCTGTTGAATATTTTGTGGGGAGTGCTTGATGAGGAAAGTATTTCTGAATGAGTTTCATGAATATTTTTCCTATATTTAGCTGTATGGTGAGTTAAACCATGTAGTTTTTCTTTTTCTGCTGGCATTTTTGTACTGTGTAGTGTATATATCAGTATTGCCAAAGATCCACTACCTTGTAGAGCTGTTTCATAATCTCTTTTTTGCTTCATTAAAAATGATTTTATTAGAAGAATTGTCAGATAACCTACAGTTAATTGTGGCATTTATTTGATTTTTTTGATAGGTCGTTGGAAGATGTGTGTATGTAAAGTGGTTTTGTCATTGATTTTCTATATGGCTGATATGTAACTTTTCTGAGGTTGAGTGTGACATCCAAGAAATCAACTTCTTCTAGGTTTGTCTTTATATGTCAAATCCTATATTTTTGAAAATTTTTATTACTTTTCTAATTTTGTCTGTTTTTGCATGTTACAATTTCTTAGGATTATAAGACTTGTCCCAGTAGAGGCATTTATCATTTTTGCCAATTAATTTGTTTAGTTCATGTAGTATGTATATGATTAACAGCTTACAGGTTTCAGCTCCATTAAAACTCCCTATTGTAATGTTGGACATTCCTTCTTTATTTAGCCAAACAAATTTGTAGTGATTTTCAGCAATGCTTGATGATTTTTAATTACTTTGTGTTTATTTTTAGGTGTTCTTAAGTTAAGGAGATGCTTTATCTATCATATATAAGTAATTACTACAAGCCAAGCAACTCTTTTTGTGCAGGCAAGATAATGAGAGAACACTGAGAAATCATAGGACCATCAAAGATGAACTGACAGAGTGGCTAAGAAACTTAAGTGCCATCTAACTTTAGAAAGTAGACAATCATGACAACCCACAGCTATTCCCCCTTTATTATATGTAAACTTAGGACTGAGTGACTGCACACAGACATTTAGAAGTACTCTGTTACAGTAGAGTTGAAGTAGTAAAACTCACCTCTGTAAAGATAAAATACTTGCATCTTAAATACAGAGACAGAAAAATAATTAAACATTTATATCTTTTAAAGAAATATTGATTGAAATGGTATTATCCTATGCATTACAAAGTGAAAAGCTTACTTTCTTGTATTTGGCACCTGGATGGAGGCAGTTATTCACCATATTCAACCATTCTACCTCTTTGATGGAATCACTAAAAAAGAATGCTTCTTTACTTAAGTCCAGTTCCTGAAATCTGAGGGGGAAAAAAAAAAAAAAAAATCAATTTTCATTTGAATGAATTTGGTTTGGTTTGTTTTATGGCATATCAACCTCAATGGGTTATTTAATGCAAACATGAATTTTATTGCTGATAATATTTTTTTTTCTTTCAAAAATGTGTTGCTGGTAATAACTTTTTTCCCCCAAAAAAATGAATTACTGGTATTAAAATCTATTGTGTTTTGACCCCAGCTTGAGGTGGGGGGTAACTATTTGTCCATAGCTGGGACTCCAACAGGTGCTACCAATCCAGGTCAGGGTGAACCTGGGAACACCAGCAAATAAGAGGTGGTTCTACACTCCTCAAAACCTCATCAGAAGCTTTGCTGCAGTTTATTGTCATACCCATGAAACTTAAAATGCAAATAAAATTCAATTGTCTTTAGATACACCTTTTTTCCTGCATATGAAGATATCTTTCTCATTGATTTCATATATTAGAACTAATGGTAAAATGTTTTGATGTTCTTTTCTCGCAATTTTAATTTCATGATATTTAATATTAACTCTAGAACAACTTGTTGCAATTTAACATTCATTTAGTTGTCATTGTGATACATAGGTAGATATGAAAAGTTCAATAACTTGCAGACAATTTTCTGCTGGAAAAACAGAAAAAAAAATCTATTTTCAAAATAGTTATATAAGAAAACACCTCTGTTCCCAAACTGTTAATTGCTTGCTACACTGATGAATTTTAATAAAAACAGAGATCTTCATTTAATTCTTACAAAAGTTTTCAACCATTTTCATCAGGGAAATTAATTACTGTTGTATTTTGGAAGTTACTTTTCATGATATTTTAAAGAATCAATTTGTAAGATAATTGAGAATAGAAGCACTTTGAAATAATCTTCTCTTATAATGCTTACCCAATTGCATAAATATCTGGTGGTTCTGGGTCTGCAGCCAACCATGTATGGATGGAAACACTGGGAGACTGGCCATTGACATTCCAAGTACCACAAAATACCCTTTAAAAAATATGTTTTTCTGAATTATTGTAAACATTAATAGTTGAGGTTAGAGAGACTTGACTAATTTTTGGATGTGAAATAATTGCCTTCAAGAAAGCAAAAGAGGGAAACTAAGACTAATAGAAATTGCTGCATTTAGGATATCAGGAATGACATTCATGTAGGTACCGCCATGAGATCACTAAAAAAAGAGCATAGCATGATGAAAAAGATGCCAAACTTGACGAAAACAAAATTTTATTGTCTAAATGTTTGTTATTATTAAGAGGAAAGATCAAAGTATTTTGGGGGTATTTTTTTACATTTTTTAATCGTTCCTAGCATGGAAAAAATGTCATAACTGAGATTAATATAAAAATAAGATCATATAAATTTCATAAGATGATACTGACACTTGTAGGTACCCTTCTCAGTTAAAATTGAAAAATCAAATTAACTTCCCCCCACACGTGTTTCGCAAAAGTAAAGGCCTTAACAGCGGAGAACAATGCTTAACTCAAATAACGCAACTTAATTGTATTCTGGTTGATTTTCCATATTTTATAATTACAGCCCGATTAGAAATACAAAATTACATTTCTTAATTACTGCGGGTCTTCTGATTAGTCAAAATGATACAATTTACAACTCGCTAAAAAAAGATCTATCTCATAAAGACACTTACAAAAGTGGATGTGACTTTTAACTGATTTTATAATATTTTAACAACCTAAATGTAAAAACCTATTATAATTAAAGAAATAATAAATAATTGTATTAAAAATTCATTTTTCATCAAAAATTTTTTTTTACTTTCAGAAAATATTGTCCATATTCATAAAAACAACTAAAAGCGAATAAAAGCATTTGAAATTAAATATCTTTGTTTTATTGAGTTTTGTATGTTACAATTCAGAGCTGAGTTTTCAGGTGTGTGTGTGTGTGTGGGGGGTCCAATTAAAACAAAAAAAAACATGATTTGCATTCCTCAAAGTCTTGTGCTGTTAACTATTGTAATTACTAAAGTGGACTCGATCAATTTCTAAAGTTTTCATAAAATTAGTTGGGGGGGATAATTATAAAAAAAATATTTCTGCCATGGCTTTAATAAAAAAAACATATTTATAATAATTTCAATCATCTGTGAATAGTTTCTGAAAGTTTCATTAACATCCGACAATCATTTTTATTTTTGCAAGATTTTCCAAATTGATGTTTGTCATACAAAAAAAATGTGCTAAAAATTGTATATGTTATTTTACTAGTTCCAGTGATGCAAAGATAAAAAAGGATTTTTAAATCAAAATTCAGAATGTTCTAAAAAGAAGGAAAAATTTTTTAAAAATAATTAAAATAAACTTTGATCTTTCCTCTTAATAATAACATTTAGTCGATAAAATTTTGTTTTCGTCAAGTTTGGTGTCTTTTTCATCATGCCATGCTCTTTTTTTAGCGATCTCATGGAGGTGCCTAATATAAAATTTCTGCTTATCTAATTAAAAATAAAAAAAAGAAGTTCAATCCTCTAGTTAAGAGCTTGAATCAGATTAGTCATTTGGTTAGATTATCAGATGCCAAAGGTTATATGTTTAAATGAGTCTAAAACAACTTATGATTCACAAACAAAACACTTCTCAACCACTTATTATATACCTAGCATGCCTTTTAATTACTTTGGATTGATAGAAACAGTAACAAATTATAACTAGTTTGGTGACTAATAAATAATAATTTTTTTTCATCATGTTTTTAACTTCAAAATCAAAAAGAAGAAATCATCCTTACTTGACTGTCTCTGTATAAGTATATTCTGCTTCTCTTTCTGTCATGAAATGCCGCACAAAACATTCACGTGCAGTGAGTGGTTTGAGGCCAACATCCATTCCCTCTGCAGTGTTCACAAATCCAAGTTGTTTTTGAATTATTTCAAGGTCATCCCATTTTTTAGAGTCAAAATCCCTTAAAAACAATTATTTATTTATAATCAAAAATCAAAATAACCCAAAACACAATATCAAAATATATCACAAGGAAGAGGGAAATATTATCTTACAGAAAGTTTGTTTAATTATATCAAATAGAAAATCTATATAAAAGACTGATAGAAATAAAAAGTACAACACTCTGAAGGACAATGGTGATATTGAGTCATGTACAGTATGTGCATAGTAGGGAGATAGTAGATAGTCTGAGAAAAGTTTTCAGCTATATTGGGACATAGTAATACTACTACTAGTGTTTGAGTCTTAGATAGTGACATGTTGCAATAAGGTTCATTACACTAACGAAATCCGGTTCAAGCAAGTGTCATATGAAGATGCACATACAATTCTTTTGTTCAGTTAGAAGCATCTGATAAAGGCTGGATAGTTATTGTGGAGAAGGGCTGCACATGTTGAATGTGAGACATTGGTGGTGCTTCAGTAGTGGAAACAGTGGTCAACTAAATATTCCTATTACAGATACTAACCAAGTATTGTAAGAACTGCAGTCACAGACTGCACACCTTAGAACAAATGTCTCTAATGGTGTTGTGGGAGAGTCCCCTGGAAGAGTGAATAATGCTATGAAATATTCAGTGATCAGAATAGGCTGATTTCATGCAAATGAGCATTGTTTGTATGTGTGACATAGAAGTTCAAGCATCATCTTCCAGAGTGCATTTGTCTAAATAATAATGGCCCAACTCTTGACATCATGGTATAAGTTACAATGCTTACTTGCCTCTGGTACTTGTCAAGAGAATGCTGAATAGCACCACATCCTTAATATTATTCCACATATTCTGCTGCTATTCCTGCAGAGGGAATGTGATATACTGTCCCAGCAAGAAAATTCCCTCCCATATGATATACATGCAATTCAACATATTCTGTAAGATGTTTGACTATTTCCCTAGCCAGCACAATTACCAGACTCATTCCCATTGAAGATGTATGAGATATGATAGAGCAACACACCAGTCATTCAGTTAGTCCACCTAAAACTCTCGCTGCATTGTATCAACAGGTCCAAGAGGCACGGAGTAATATATCACAGGATTGGTATTCACCATTCGTGCAATCATATACACATAACAGTACAGGCATGTAGTAACACTTAATGAAGAAATAAAGTGTATAAATATAGGGTCCAAGTACATTTCTTATTGATGTACACATGCTTAATCTTGAATAAATTGAAGCACATATTCAGGTTGTTACAATTTTATTTTCCATCAGTGTATATGAACTTTTACAACCATTTACAAATATATAAATATTTTTGTGGAAATACATTGTTTTGTTTATAAATGCATATTTTTTCAATCATATTTCAAATTTTGAAGAGAAAGGTGGTGTAATGAAACTTACCCTGGTCCATTTAGAGAATCCACACTTCTAGCAAGCTCAGAGTTGACTTTGAGTTTGTTGGGAGGAGAATCAGTCCGTAAATGATGGGCTGGAGATCTTGTTCTTGATCTGTTTGACGGAGAACCTTTTCTGCCTTGGGCTGATGGAGAATTGCTACGATGTCTAGCATCGGTACGTGCTCGATGCACAGGTGATCCTATTCCAGAAGAATCGGAACCTTCTTTACTTTTAACAGATTCTGAAAAAAAAGACATATCCAAATAAAATTAACAAATGAACATGCTGATGATAAATATATGCACAATGAGCTTTTAAATACAGGGACTCAACCACCTACATCAACATGAATGAACTTGTCTGCATGTTCATTTCCTTTCTTTTAAAATATGCATAATAATGCACTTAGTGATTGTGACTAGAAAGTATTTGTTGCTAAGAGCTATTCACTATTCAAATGTTCTGAAAACTGTAAATATTAAAATATTAACTAAATCACTTCTTTCTAGGCTTACATACAAGCATATTATTTGGCCTTCAGAGTTCAGTACTTTTAATTGTTGTGCTTTTGTTAAAATTAAACAAAGAGTACAAGAGTTTATAAAGCATAGTTCTGAGAAAAAAAATCAGGTTACTATTACGTTGAAGTGAAGTTTATACAAATATTGAAATATTGCATCCTCAAGTCAAATATTTACGAATCTAATTATATTGTGATTGCAAACTCTAAAAAATTTGTTTCCTATAATTTATAGGCAAGTGCCATGGGCACATAATATATGTCAGTAAAAGAATCCCCTAAACATTAACATACATATATCAATAAGTGAATTCTGGGAAATTTCTAAGGCTGAAACAAAATATTGCATATTAGATTCATAAGAAGACAGACATTTTTATTTGGTATGCCTTCAAAGTAACATTTAAACAATCAGAAAGTCATGCAATAGCAGATCTTACAGTGAAAAATTACACTTTTCATTTCACAAAAGAAGCAAAAAAAAAAAAAAAAAAAATTTTTTTCACTTTACAGAAATGCAAACTTGTCTTCATCCAAAAAGAACAAATGTCAAACATTTAACTAAAACTACCCAAGAATCTAAAAACAAAATCTCACCATTCACAGAGTATGTTACACCCACACACAGATATTCACTTTTTCATAGAAAGTTTTACAAAGATTAAGAAAAAACTTAAAGCCACTTAAACTTCAAGTAATAAATCAAAAACATTATTCAATCTATTAATTTGCATTATTAAACGGCTATAAAAATATACATTTAAGCATAATTAACCCATTTTATATACTTAGATAAAAGCAACATTTTCAAAGCATTTGAAGTTTAAATGATACATTATTTCAAGTGTTTGAAATCTTCAGTATATAAAGAAAACTTATCAGCTGAAAAACTGTAGATTTGTCTGTAAATGTTGATTCCAGCTGTAGAGAATAAAATTACATTAGAAAGATTAATAGAGTTTAATTAGATATTTATTCTTTATGAAAGTGATTTTTTAAAGTTTCAAGCTTTATATAAGACTGGCTATATATTCAAGAGAATCTATGTAATAAGATGAAGATCTCTCAGATCCTCAAAGATATATTAAAAGAACTGTACATTCAATCAAGGAACTGGACTTCACATTATGCCAATTAAAAATTTCATTTTTATTTTGATCACAAAAACTTGGGAAATCATGATAAAATTGACATGGTCTGTGATCTTTAAACAGAAAGTAAACAAAGTCCTTGTGTCTTTTATCATAGTTTCTGTCAAATTTTGAGGACATTTTCCAATTCCACCTACATCTGAAGGAACAAGTAGTCACCATGTCAGAGGAGGTGAGGAGGAAACCCAAGTACCAAATTTAAGAAAACCTTCACCCAAAGTGGTTCAAATAATATCTGAATATATTGATTTTTATTATGAGTCAAAATAGTAGCAAAAATTGTTTGCAATAGAAAGCAAAGGAAATAGTTTTTAATTATTTTTCAAAACAAACAATTTCACTCTTCAATCCAATGGGGCTGAACAGTAGGAACTTCATGATTAAAACAGATTTTGTATTGAATATGGCTATTTTATTTTTAAAAAAAGACAATATGCAGAATGTATTCACACTTGTATCATTATATGGCAAATTTCTCAAAAATATAATACTTTTATAATGCCATAACTGAGTTCTTGCAATAAAATAGATAAAGCTTTCAGAGGCACCATATCACATAAGGCTGGATCAATAATTCTGTAGCCTGACATATAGCTATTAGCTGAATTTTGAAATTTTTATTATATAATGTTCAATCTATGTTATTACTATTAACCACTGAATTGAGTGCATCAACAAGCAAGGAGATCATGTTGAAAATAAATATCTATTGTATAAAATAAATGCTTTTCATTATTAGGTTCTGAACTTATTGCACCTATGTAAATAAAATTTGAATATACCTAAAAATTAAAATTATTAGAATTTTAAATCCTATTTATTCAAAATTTACTGATTTTGGCCATCAGTTTCTCAACAATGACCAAGTGAGCCATTTTTGTGATTGGAGAAGGTAAATAAGCACCAAATGAATTCCTGTGTCAAGAATTGTATAAAGAAGCTGAAGAATTCAAAATCCATTTTCAAAAATTGAAAAATAGTCATTTTCTGGGTTACATCAAATATAAAAATTTATCTTATTTTCCTATGTTTATGCATTTCAACAACATAAATATTTTAGTACTTAAAATTTATAATCAGAATCAGCCACTGGTTACCGTATTATAGATAGTACTGGTACATTTTTGTTATCAATGTGTTTACAAAAATCAAGTAAATACTAATTTAATAATCTACAACCAGTAATTTACTAATACTAATACATTTCTAAATGATTATTTTTTTGGCACTGATCAGCACTGAAAACTTTTCTTTAATGATTCAACCTTTAGAATGGATGAATATTTTATACAACCAATGACACTAGCAAAGAAACTAAGAAATCACCAGCAGTATGTTTAACAATCATTAAGAATTTTAAATACATTTACTAATTTTTTATATAATAAAAATGGAGGCTGAACATAACTTGCCAGAAATTCAATTGCATACCATGTCTACAGTTTAGTATAAATTTCTATAATTATTTCTATAATTCATTCATTCTACCTTCAATCTAGAAGCTTGTTGGGATAATCATATTTTTGAATTGTTGATAATGAGGTTCTGAATAATAATTGAACTAGTTTCAACAAGTCACAAAACTAAAGATTTTGTAAATATTTACACATCTAAAGACAAATATACATACACACATCCATGTGTGTATGCACTTAATATTCTTTTCATTCAAAGTCAACTTATATAGTTTTTTTAAGATAAAAAGATTCAATTTTGAAGTAACTTCTGTGGTCATTTTACCAGATAATTTTTGTATACAAAGATCAAAGTTAAAATGAAAATATCAATGAAAATGAAACTCAATACCAAACCTATTTCTTGACTGCTATAAACAATAAGACAGTGGCTTTTGTAAATCACATAGTGACAATATATAAAAGTAGGATTTCTTGATATGTTCCAAGCTGCCAAACTGGTTGCATAAGGTTAAACTTACAATCATGCATGAACTTTTAGTTAAAATGATTCAAATGGCAAATCAGAATATTTACTTTCTATAATGCTAACTAGAACCATACATTTTTAGTAGACTGGCAACTCCATGAATCAGGCAGTGGTCAATTTATTTTTTGCTAACAAAATCACAAACAATATCTTGTTGCTTCATTCAAGGGGGTTGATGAAACAGACTCATATTTCCATACGATGCTGAAAGTTTTAAGAATGTTATATGGAAAAATAAAAGAGAAACCTTTCTATATAACTGAAAAATGACCATTACAAAAAGGAGAGATACTGGCTTAATTTATTCTGATACAGAAAAGATAAAAATACAAAAGGAAGAGTATAAATAGCAATGTTTTCAACAGAGACAAACAAATTAACAAGTATCACAAATAGCAATCAATATTTTGATATGAAATTAGCTGAGCAGGAGGGTGGAAAGCATGCAAGGTTCACAGAAAGCATGTGTGTAGGGCAAAAGAAAAAAAAAAAAAAACAGCTGAAGCAAAACATTAAAGAAGTTTAGCATTTTGAAGGGTCACCTGGTTAGCAGTTTGTGGGTGAGAGCAGCAAGCCTCATCTTGGCTGTGTGGCAATTTAGCAACAATGGTGGCCTTAATTGTAAGATAGAACAAATAAAATCATCATACACTGAACGTGTTGTTATTTCAAAGAGGAAACATTGAAGAGGCAGTTATGAGCTTCTTCAGACCATTATCCCCATTTGTGTGAATCTGATGAAAGTCGGCGGACATAAAGTGGGGGATCAATTACATAACAGTACAGAATCTGTATTGGATGAGGTTTTCATTTTACATTGAAGAAAAAGAAGAAATTTCCAGTGTTTGATTCCCTTGTCAATAGGTAAAATGTCTTGAGAAACCGGCATGAAATTTTCATTTGCACCAATTAAACAATTCTGCATTCCTGCTTATTTTCTAATTCATTGTTTTCTCTTTCATTTCAAGAAAACCTTTTTCAAAAGTTTGTCATTTTGTGTCATAGTTCATATATTCAGGACACTGTGGAAACCAATCAGCTAGGTAAAACTCTTATTGCTAAATTTCTGTAAATCTCTCTTAATGCCATTGTCTACTTTGAGTACATGTCTTGTCTGAGAATTCAACTGATTCAGAGTTTAAAATTTCAAGAAAATGCTAACACTAGAGATAACTGCAGCTCAATATAAAAACAAAAATATTAAACTGATCCCTCACTTTGTGTCCTATAAAGCTACTGAGGCATGAGGCTTGGGTGAAATTAGTAATATAAGGGAGAGATATATTTTTGTTTCTAATTTCAATTAATACATTTTCTAGTAGCCTTAACGGAAGTGAGATAAGTTGACTTATATCAATATCCACCCACCACTATAAATGAATGAAAATTTTACTTTAAACAAAATCAATGTCCCCACTTACCAAGTTCCCTACTGATTGAAAATTTAATCAATTTCTGACAGAAAGCGCAAATCAGTGTAGCCTAAGAAAGTACTGTCAATGTTTCATAAAACAAGTTGAGAAACCACTTATTTACAACTTAGTTGTATACTAGTTTTGTAGATTACTTTATATTGTGGTTTGAATGTAAATGCTTGAAATGAATATAAAAAATAATTTAATAATG